TACATATACAAACATATATATATATATATACACATATATATATATATATATATATATATATATATATATATATATATATATATATATATATATATATATATATATATATATATATATATATATATATATATTTATATATATTATTCAGATTTAATATAAGCCTAACCGTAAAGCAATGAAAAGTATTCAAAACATGTATAACAGGCCATGAAAACACATCATGCAATTCTCTCTTGAAACCCTTTTGACATCTGTTTGAGGCTAAAGATTACAGACATGTTTGAGGCTAAAGTTTACAGACTTTCCTTCAATAAACTTTAATGCATTTGAAAACATAAAATAAATAAATGCACACTAAGAAAGCATTTAAGATAAAAAATAAATAAATAAATAAAAATAGACAGCATCCTCTACTGGTTTTGTCATCTGAAGCATGCAACAAAAGTACTTGGAGCAATGTATTTTATGTTTTGCAAAAATGTAGGCAGACACCTATTTTAGATGTGTTGAGCTAGTTAGTAAAAAAGCAGTTTTTGTGTTTTATATTTTGATGCTTTTTATGATTTAACTTAACCCTGACCCTAACCATAATGTGTAAAAAGTGTCCGAAAATGACTTGCCTTCAATAGGCTTTGATGTATCCAAAAAATATACATATAGTTTTATACTTTAACACTTATTAAGATTTAACATAACCCTAACTTCAATGTGTAAAAGTATCTAAAATATATATAACAGGTCACAAAACACATCATGCAATTCTTTCCTGAATCTCTTTTGACACATCTGTTTGAGGCTAAAGCTTACAGACTTGCCTTCAATAGGCTTTGATGTATCTGAAAACAGATAACAAAATGCACCCTCAATAAGACATTTCAGATTAAAAAAATAAAATAATAATAATAATAATAATAGAGAGCGTTGTCTAGCGGTTTGTCATCTGAAGCATGCAACACAATGTACTTTACATTGTACTTTAAATGTATTTTACATACTGCAAAATAGTAGGCAGAGACAAATAATCCAGAGGAGTTGGGCTAGTTAGTAAAAAAGCAGTTTTTGTGTTTTATAATTTGACTCTCATTGTCATTTAACTTAACCCTGATCATAATGCGTAAAAAGTGTCAGAAAAAGACTTGGCTTCAATAGGCTTTGATTTATCTGAAAATCTATAACAAAATGCGCATTTAGTGATGCAATTCACAAGAAAATGTAGACAGTGCCCTCTAGTGACTGTGACATCTGAAACATGCAACAAAACATACTTGGAGCAAAGTATTTTATGTATTTCCGATGAGCTGAGATACAGTAGTTAAAAAATATATACATGTATACTTTTATACTTTGACGCTTATTAGGATTTAACCCTTACCGCAATGCGTTAAAAAGTATATGCCTTAAATAACAGCACAAAAACACATCACACAAATCTTTCCTGAATCTCTTTTGACACATCTGTTTGATGCACTGATTTCAAGAGACCGATTTATAGACCAGAGAGCTGAAGGAGAAAAAGAGGACGTGCTTATGATAGAGAGAGAGAGAGAGAGAAAACGAGAGCAGGTTTATTGCCGGCTTGTCATTGTTATTAAAGCGCAAAAGTCTGTTCGGTGTGCGACTGCAGGCCGGGTGTCCGTTCAGGCTGTAGCTTTTGTGATTAGCTTTCATTCTCCATCTGAAGTGAGTGATGGAGGAGCCGCTTCAGAGTGTCAAACTGGACAAACGTCAGCGCTCCGGGCTGAGGGACGACGTTCGGCTCGCTTTATTCCTCATGACTGAAACGAGGGGAGAAGACCGTCCATTTTCTCACGTAATACACAGCTCAGACTGCCGCGCTCCTGTTTCGTGGTTTTGGAAAAGAGAGAGAGATCTGACTGACATGTTTGGTTATCTGTGAGCGGTCTGAAATAGACAGGCAGGTCGAGCGCAGAGAGCTTCTTTAACACTTGATATGAACGTCACAGAGGAAAATGAAGGAGCAGACCGGTTTGTCAGTCATGGTTAAGCAGAAGTTCAGTTCCGAAAGTCTGCAACATCAGACTATATGAGAATATTGGGCTTGTTGTTAACTTCTACTTTACATCTATCTATCTATCTATCTATCTATCTATCTATCTATCTATCTATCTATCTATCTATCTATCTATCTATCTATCTATCTATCTATCTATCTATCTATCTATCTATAAATCCACCAATCTATCTATCTATCTATCTATCTATCTATCTATCTATCTATCTATCTATCTATCTATCTATCTATCTATCTATCTATCTATCTATCTATCTATCTATC